ACCAAGGCAGCTGACGCTGTCCTTAAGGTCCCACTAGTCAAACAAAAATTGATTCAAACCCGATTCTGTTTGCGCAAGGGTTGTCTTCCAACTTTGTGGAGTCGATTGGATGCAGCAGCGGTCGCTGTCAGAGCTGAGGTAGCCGCCTTGGGGCTCGTTCGGCCTGGGGGAACCTGCTCGATCTCGATGTCAACCTTGACCGAAGGGTCGAGGCTGCTGCCGCCTGATCTGACCCCGGCAGGGACACTGAAAGGCCTGGACTATGGTTGGTCAGGCAACCGAGGCCTAGGGGCAGCGGCAGAGGCAGGATGAGGTGAACTTGGAACCGAAGCATGGCCGGTCCTGCAGTTGGCGCAGGCAGTCCTCCAGAGCACCACCAGTACCAGGGTGGCTTTGCGGCATTGGTACTTCGTCTTCTACGTCCTGGGCGAGATCGAGGAGGGCCTGTAAGATGCAGGCTACATGTAGTCTTAGTGCGGACGTTTTTGCAGGCGCAGAGACCACTTTGAACACTTGTTGGAGGAAATCGAAGCCACAGCCAACTGTAGCCCAGCAGTGTGAGATAGGTTGAATCCAGCATCTACAAGACCTTTTTCAGTGGACTCAATAGCGATAGAAGACTCCATTGGATCGAAAGCGAATTTCGTCCAACTCGCACCACAGCAATTCATAGGTCAATCAACAGGCACGCGTATTTCCGCAAAACAGCGCGCTTCAGTGCCACTAATTTCGTTTTTCGTTGAGAATTAGCAACCGCGCGAAATACCGCCCGGCATTTTGGTTTGTGTTGTACGAGCGACGAAACAAAACCATTGAATTCTTTGCCATTTTACCAAGATTTAAGACACTTGTTTTTATCGATCCAAGCCAGGTGAAAAATCGCTGTCCACGGATTTACTTTCTTCATGGAATTTGTTTGTCCATTGGAAGACAGACGCAAATTGCTGGATGGCTTGGTTCCAGTTGGCAATTTCGATCCATGCCGATAACATCGCACTTGAGGCTGCATCACGCGAAAAGACTGGATTATCTGCAAATTTCACAGTCCTGCTTCGCCAAACCGAGCTGCTGCATCCTTCCCACAATTCAGTGTCTCCCAATCTCATCATTGTGCGGGCCATCGACATTGCAGGTGGATTCCTTAAGCTTGTCATCCACACATGGGTGAACCATGTATTTACCGTGCTTGCTCAAAAGCAAGATGGAAATGTTGTGTCGCTTGTATGCAAAGTTGAAACGCTGCGGAAAGTGTATATGTTTTGCTTTTTGTTGCAAAAGGTTTGTGTTTGCTGTTGAAAGTTAAGATTTTCATTTTCTAGATGTCAAAACAAGTTGCAGTAGTGTGATCGCAGATGGTTGCGAGTGTAGCAGCAGGTAGCAGCAGCAGTTTCGAGCATGAGCAGAAGCAGCACAGTAGCATCACGGCGGCACGGTAGCAGTGGCAGCGGCAATAGCAATAGCAGAAGTCATGATAGATGTAGTTGTCGCCGCAACGTGTCCAAGCAGTTTGGCAGGGGCAAGTCTCAAATTCAGGAGGTAGAACCGAGGCAATCGGATGGGTTCATTGATCGGCCACCGACAGCATCCGCAAGAAGCAGCACATTGATGTGGGTCGCAAAACCGCAAAAACAAGCTTTTATTTGTGGTTAAATAGTTTTTTTGCTCTTGTTTTGCGAGCATTCAACAGCTTAGTGAACGCCGATAATCAGAATGGAAGCGAGGTGAAATGTAAAAAGACGATACGGAGATGTTCGTGGCCATCCGCAGGAGCACATCGAACTCATCAGTGGCATGCAATGTTTTGTTCAGGATGGTGGTTGCATAAACGAAATCCCTTAAATGGTGTCCATGCAATCTGGAGACATTTGGTCATGCTTCCATCGCCGCCATGAGAGCTCAGGAAACCACGGCCAGCTTAGACTTAGTTCGGCCATGCTGTTAGCACATGTTCATTACTTGCTGTGCATTTAAACAAACACGTTCGCACATGGTTATCGGTTCCCTACCCTGCCTGTTAGATGTGGGTACCCGATGCAAGTATAGAATTCAACAAGTTTTTGCAGAGGGGCATCAAACTATCAAGCTTGGCATAGAAGGAAAGGATTGTCACACAAAAGGCAAGGAATGCTAAAGCATGTCGAAGATGACGAGCCGTGCTTGCGCGACTCGCCTGGTAGCGGCCTCATACATTCCGATTCGAAGACTGCGGCATGTGCAGTGGTTTTCTTGCGTTTGACTAAGGTTATCGGCCGAGGCCGAAAGCCAGAGGAGCAGAGGAGAGTAGTCGATTTGGGGACCACTTTTTAGCTCTCTCTCTCTCTCTCTCTGTTTCTCTCTGTCTCTCTCTGTCTCTCTGTCTCTCTCTGTCTCTCTTCTCTCTCCTCCTCTCCTCTATTCTGTCTCTCTCTTCTCTGCTTCCTTTCTCCTTCTTGTCTTCCTTTGGACGGAAGTGGAGGAGGCTTTCCACGAATCCAGGCTTCCACAGGCCGAAACAGAGGCACTGGCCAGATTCCGTCACTTCAGCTTTCAAGGATTGTGGTGGTCGGAGATGCCACAGGGCGTTCCTGTTGAGAGCGACCCGGGCTATACGAACGGTAGCTCCACTAGTCTGAAATATTGAAAACCTGTCGAAGCTTCCAAGCAAGTCAGGAGCCTGTATCCTTGCATGGGGCATCTTCCAATGTGTTGGCGTGTTAGCTGGTCGAGAGTTATCATAGTTTAGTCAGATATGGTACGTGGCCATGCAGACTTTCGTCCATGCGACAGCATCGCACTTGGCCGCTTTCAACAGCCACATGATGGGACATGGTAGGTTCATTCCATGCGCCATGCATCAAGAATCGGAACAAACCGGATTTTGCATGTACCATACTGCGCAACATAGATCCCCTGCGAGCATCAGCCGCTAGAGTTTTTGTTTGAACCGTCACGGTACAGACGCAAGCTGGTGAGCGCGCAAGTGACTCTGGACTCTAGCTGCAGACACATGTAGCAAGCCATGACATAGCTGCTTCGTGAAACATGTGGTCCACTCTGATCTTGTGGCACGGAGGGGTGTAAGCCGGGGCTGATCCCTGTCTTCGCCATGGGGCTTCAGGAGGCAACTGCGCTGCTACCCGTGGGTCGAGTTGTTATTGCAACTCTCGCTTATGTTTTGTCAAGCGTTGCGAAGCACGTGTTTTAACCAATGAACGGTCAAAGTCCAGCCACTCTCTCTGCAGAATTGTTCTGCAACTTGCTTTTTGGGGACCACATCTGTTGGTCTCTGGCTTTTCTCTTGCAGCACGATACTCCGGTGAGTGCTTCACCAGGAGTGTCGCGCCCTGATCTCGCTAGGTGCGGTGAACCTGCTCCGGTTCGCTTCGAGGTGCTTCTTTCTGTTTCTCTCACGGTGCCAAAAGATGACGGTGCTGAAACTTCGCACCTTGTAGCAGGCGGCATGTCGTCAGCCAGTCGCAGGCTCAGATAATTGCGAAGTGGTCATGCTGCTCTACTAGGGGTTGCTGCAAGGGGGCACAAGTCATTCAAGGTCGAGAGCCCAAGCCGCGGCGTCCGTCTGAAGACCGGAGGTGGCACGGAGGAGTGGACGACGTGACGGCGGTGACACGTCCCTGTGCCAGGGAGCCGAAGGAGCCCAAGGAGTCTCGAGAGCCGCGACCACCGAAGGAAACCCCTCTTGAAGCGCGAATCATTCCGACGAAGCCTCTGGCCGACTCTGGCCCGCAGCGACTCGAAAGGAGAAGCGCGAGTCCAGCCGCACTGGCGACGTGCTAGCCTTAGGAAACAGATAGCAGTTAGCGATTGTCAACATGCTGTAGATGTGCTGAGAGACTGTCGTGACCAGGGCCGTGGTGAGCGGGACCGCGTGGCAGCCCAGTGAGAGGGTTGTTTAGGTAGAGTCGATTCACGTCTTACGTGTCTACTTTCATCGTAAAGTGCTGCGGCCAAGACTATTTAGCTAGCTGGAGCCAGACGCGTTGACATGCTGTCAAGGCGCACCTTTCTTCCTTGATCACTATGTGGGTACTATTTGGGTTGGCCTTCGGTGATCCATACTTGTCAGCACGGAATGAAGGTGCGTAACATTATAGAAATAACGTGGAACGAACGAATTACTATCAAAGCTTAGCGATGATCAGTGGTTCCGTAGTGGGCAAGCCTCCATGGACATTGATAGAGTGTGGACCCTTGCCTGCTGTCCAGAACCATGACTGAGGTGACCGAGAGAGAGACCGCGACAGCCCCTGGGATGAACGTGCTACTGGATGCCGGCACTGCACGACATTACTGTACCGACACACCATGAACGATATGTGAGCAGTCTTAGGAGATCGCGAGCGGCGGCATCGCGGCGAGGCCGGAAGAGCCTGTTTGCGGAATGTTGGCCACGAGACAGCGTGCGACTGATCAGTCTTCATGCTTTGCCTCTATGTTCAATTGCGGGGTTCTGGGCTCGATGCGACTTTCTTTCCGAGCGTTGCAGCTCTTTTGCTACATGCTCTTGGCTCCAACAGCGCGTCTCCGTGGTATTTGGCTGCAAGTAGATCGGCAAGTGTTTTGCCAAGCAGTGTGGTCCAAAACAAGCCAGCTGGTGATTGATTTGCGGTGTTGAGTGCAGCCGAGGGAAATGCGCGGTGCTACAGCATGGTTTTTGACAGCCTGTCTCGCAAGTTCTGTCATCTTTACCAGAGGCCCCAGCCAAGTTGGGACATGACGTGGGGACAAGCTAGCATTGCAGATACATGTGTTACATCCTGATCGAATTCATTTGGGCAGGGCTGCCGATTTTCTGCACAGAGGCTGCACCTGCCTCCATTGCGCTTTCAATTCGATATACCATACTCTAATGTCTGCGGCGACCTTCAAACCCCTGAAGCAGTTGGGTCACTGGCACGATATCACTACTAATTTCTGGCTACTGGACTTCAGATTCGTGAAGCATTGTACTCATCGTATGTATCCAGCACCAAACCCGCCTAGAACAAACGCACTGGCTTGTATTCGCCAGTAGGTGGCGAAGCGCCAAGCCTTGAGGACTGTTTTTTCTGAGCAGCTGTGCTGACGCTATAGCACACAAGAGAAAACGCCGCTCTAGGCTTCAACAGGTTTTCTTCAGGCAATCTTACACCAAGGACTTCAGATAGAGACCCAACGAACTCAAGCGTAAGGAAGAAGAAAGGAACATGAGAGGGGAACTGGATCTCTCTTCTTCTGTGCTCTGCACGAGTGCTCAAGCTTGGCTCTCTGGCAGGAGGCGAAAACATCTCTGCAAGCTTTGTTCCGTACTCCTGTAATTCAACGATCTGTGATGGGCCGCTTGGCTGTTAAAGAGATTTGATTTCGAGACCTTGGAGGCAATGCTGTTTGCTATGACAAGAATACCTCGAAGGTACGTAGCTTACGGAGCTTGCAATGCTGACAAGAAGTGCCCAGCTGTCCTCGTCATCCAGGCCCGGCATGCCGGATCCGAGCTCTTGAGCCGCGCGCGCGTGTGTGTGTGTGTGTGTGCGCGGGTTCAGGACTGGACCGGCATGGACGACTATGAGATGGAGCGTGCGCGTATGCTAGCTGATCTGGGCTACGTGGGATTTGCAGCAGACATTTATGGCCGCGGCACTCCTGTTGAAGATCGTGACGACTGGGCCGCGGCGGCTGGAAGGCACCGTGGCGATCCGACACTTTACATGTCGAAGATCAATGCAGCCCTAGAGCGAGTCAAGTCATACAGCTTCGTAGACACTTCTAAGATTGCGGTCATCGGATACTGCTTTGGCGGCACCGGGATTGTCAATATGGCTATCCTTGGAGTAGATGTGCTGGGAGTCGTGGGGTATCACTCCGGCATCCAGCCAAACCGCCGAGTCCTGCGAAGCGATAGCACAGGCCCTGTCCGTGCGAAAGTTCTTTTGCATTCCGGGGTCCAGGATGATCTAGCAACTGACATTGCCTTGCTGGAGCGCGAGTTCGAAGATGCAAACGCAACGTTCGAGATCGTGCGCTACGGCTCCGATGTGCTGCATACATTTACGAACTGGTATGCAAATGATCCCGGTGTTGCTGTGTACAACCAGCGAGCGGATGTGAGGTCTTGGGAGAGCACGAAGCTCTTCCTGTCGGAGATATTTGAAGGACTGAGTGAAGCTTAAACGTGCGCCACAAAAGTGTTTCCTGTTGCTCTGTGGAACATCTTGAACTGTGCGTATGCCATGTCAGGACTCTCACAGCCTGTGCGTGCGCCGTCCCAGGCGGCGGGCGTTCGTGAGAGAGAGGTGGGTTGGCCCATGGTAAACCAGGAACTGCATTCGGGTTCATGTCAATTGCACCAGCCCGGGACAAGCAGCACCGCAGATTAAAAGCAGACTGCTAGACTGCTAGATTTCTGGAGGATGCATCGAAGACGTTGAATGTTTCCGACGCTGCCAAGGTGCTTCCATGAAATGGAGAAAAGTCACTGCCCGCGCCTTTCAGCTCAATCTCCGCAGTCGGAGCCCGAAGCGAAGGAGCCCGAAGTGACACTCTGTCTCTCCTGAACTGCAACAGCCGCTTTGCGGATTTAAGCTTCACTCAGCGTGCAGGGCGCTGCAGTGCAGGATCACGCGATTCGAGCCAGTTCTCGAGCCCGAATTCAATCTTCGTGTTTTCTCGCAGAGGGTCTGGCATTGGCCGCTGAAAAACAAGCGCCACTAGGCCGCTGCGCTTGAACAGAAGGTTTTCCGGGCGACAAGATGTCCGGAGAGCATGACTTGTGTCGTGGCGTGGATTGGCGTGACATCGACAAACGCGAAAAGTCGGCTCTGCGCGACCGCCTTTCTGGGGTTAGCGGCCAGCCGCCGAGCGACAGTCGGAGGCATCCCTCAAAGAGCCCGGCCGAGAGAAGCCCTCCTCTACGTCGCCTGTGTCCCCGGCGCGGCAGGATGAGCTGATTTCATAGCATTTGGGATCACACGATAACGGATAGCGACTGAAGGCATTGGCGCAACTTTGCTGGTTTGGATGCCCTTTATGATTTTCGGAGCTGAAGTTCGAGTGTCCTAGTCCCAGAGGCTCTGAAGCTGAAAGGACCAAGAGTCCTACCTGGACAGTCTCATTGCCGATTGCACCGACAAGTGCCGAGCTCGGTGCATGGGCAAAAGCATCTTGTGGTTGTACAGCCTCAACTGGGCACCGCTTAGGCGACCTGATGTTGCGGCACCTGTCAAGTCCTTGGAAGGGGACAGAGGGGTGAAGTATGTTGCTGTTCTGTAAAGGCCACACACGGATCAAGCCAACAGTCACGAAGTCTGGTGTACCGAAGGCTGCACGAGACATGCCGAAGCGCCCGTCATCCCGTTCCACTCCTGGTTTTATGCATGTCGCAGCTTCAGCTGAGAGCAAGCACCCACCCCTCGCAGGTGCTGACTCGCGTCCAAAAGGTAGCGATGGTGAGCGTCGACCCCGCAACGCAGAGGTGAAATGTGTCCGGGAGTCTATTCAAATCGCAGTGGGGCATCTGGAAGCTCTTTCCGTCTGTGGTGGGCTATCAACGGCAGCCGACATCAGCTTTCGGAAAGAAATCCTGCACGAATCTGGTATGTATTCCATTCATTCAAGCAAACTACTCGTTTTGTCCATCTGCTGGCCAGCGATCCGAAAGCGTGCCTGTGCAGGAGGTGCCTCGGGAACGCCCAGAGGCTCTGCTCTGAGAATTTCAAGTCAGCTGCCAGCACTTGCAATGCTGGGTTGTCTCAATCCTCTTAGTTTCTCTTGGAGGCTCCCAGTGGCTCTGGCCTCAGCTAGAGCAGAGCGAGAGCAGAGCAGGCGCTCGTGATTTCCGTGATCTCAGTATACGACTTTGGCCGGCCGAGGTCCCTCTCCGGAGCGCGAGCGCCGCTCGAGGCCGGGGGGCGTTCCCGAAAGCTGTTGCGACTGACAGCAGCGCCGCAGCAGATGAACCTGTCGGCAGATCGAATAATGCTTGAAGCACAAGAGGATGACCAGGTGTGAAGGCATCAGCTTTAGCCGCTTTAGCCTGTCCATGGCAATAGAAAGCAGGCAGCAGGAGAACGATGGGGAATAGCAAAGACGGAAATGCAAGCAAGACTGGAGAAGTGCCTTGAGCCGCCGAGCTCCTGTCTGCAGGCGAGGCGATGAGGGGGACCGGGACCGCCGCGAGAAGAAGGCGCGGGCAGTTGGCATTCGACGTCGCAAAGCCGTTCTCTCGGCGCGGTATCGGCCCGTGGCAGGAGAAGAAAGAGCGCAGTGTCTGGATCCCAACTCGATCCGGTAGCAGCGCTTTCGAAGCACTGCAGCCACTGTGATGAAGTTTGAGTCGTGGAACCACGGAGAGCATGCACTCTGCTTGTCCCGATGCTGCTGGCTCACTTCATAGGCGTTCTGGGTGTCGCCACTTGTGCCATTACTTGGTTCCGCGAGCTCTCCGACCCTTTGGCTTTGCAGGCCAGCTGTTCAGGCCATTGGGTCGGTGTGTCATTTGCTGACGCTGCTGCTGATGCCCTGCCAAGAGGGCTATGGCGATGCTCTTGTCGAGAGCCCTGCGCTCGGGGCATCTGACCTCCTACTCCGCGTGCCTCGCTTGGGTTGGCTGCAGTTCGTGATTGTCGCGAAAGCGTTCCGAAATCGTTGCCAAAGGGTTGGAAACTTCTCGCACTTCTCCTTGCGTCAGCGTTACACACAGATGCTGAAGGCACAGACCGTGCAGAGCTCAGTTGTCGGGAGAGTTATGTGTGAAGACCGGATGTCGGCAAGCACGTGTGCAAACCTGCATAACTAGAGTTGCTGAAGCTCTTCAGAGGATCCCACGCTGGCGGACTTCTTCTTTGAGAGCTACCTCCGCGCATTCTTCGCGGATCCGCCCTCCTACAACTACTGGCCGAGGGCCCAGCTTTTGCCGAACGTTGACACCTCCCAACGAGTTTCTGCAACGAGAGCTATGGGCGGTTGATGTTACCCTTTGACGAGGTTCATCAGCATTGCGGCATTCGGCGCCTGCATCGGCATCCTGTCTCGCCAGCCTGAGGTCTCAGCAAAGTGCAGAGCTAGAAGAACCGTCGCTTGAAGCCTTCTATCGGCTTCTCCTTCCTCTGAGGATCTTCTTCAACCCGGATGTCCGATCCATAGCTTCAGGGAGAGGCTCCGAGATCTTCTCGTCTTTGTCTCTAGCCGAGGTGATGTTCCGCTTTCAGGAGAAGCGAAAGCCTCTGCCTGACCGCCACAGGCATCAGGGCGCTTGAAATGCACTGAACACACTGCGAAGCTCTCGATCGAGAGCATGACAGCAGAACAGCGAAAGGTGGGAGGGGGGAAGCACCCCGCGCTTTCAGTGTGGCAACCCCACTCAGGGCACGCAGTACGCTGCACAATGTCTCTCACCGTCTCGTGGCTCGTGCTCTGTCGGAACGGGGAAGGCAGTGGACCTATTCCCTGCCTTTCTTCAACCACCGCCTGCGCCGCCCGTCTTTTCGGCTTTTGCAAAGGTGCATCATCTTGCCGCTGAGAGTACAGGATCATGCCTTTCCGATCTGAGGCAACATGTGCTGCAAGTACAAGCCTGCAGCCAAGCCGAGTGGTCTCAGTGCAACAATCTGCAACGTGATCATTGTGCGAACTCATGATTTCAGGGCCTGCATGATTGACAACGAGCCGGACTGGGCCGACAATCACCCCCTCGGCTACCGCCCAAACCGGAAGCAGTGCCACAGGACCTGCACAGCCTTGGAAGCTCACTTGTGCCGTTAAGTGTGGCCCCATGGCCCATGTTCATTTATGTTTATGTCTTTTGTTGGCTTGCACATCGCACTTTCATTCTGGCGACCTCCCGTCGCGAAACTGACTTTCTCGATCATCCGGCCGAGTCGCATCTCCTGGTTTCGGGCTTTTTCCAAGTCGTCGGTATGACCAGTAGTTCTCACCGGACCTTGAGGAGGATCTGCAGGGCAGGGTGGTGGCATGTTGCTGTGTTTGTCGGTCTTCGCGTCGGCCTTGGGGAGACCATGCTAAACCCTAAACCCCCCTCCAAAACCCCATAAAGCCACCATGCTAAACCCTAAACCCCCAAAACCCCATAAAGCCACCATGCTTAAACTTCAGCCCTAAACCCCCCTCCAAAACCCCATAAAGCCACCATGCTAAACCCTAGACCCCCAAAACCACCCAAATTCAATTCAGACTCTGGTTCTATAATGAGCAATTCTACAAAGTGGTGCACCACCTTGTTGTTGAGGCACGGAGGCAGGGAGCAAGAGGAAACCAGGTTCAACACCGCTTTCATGGCAGGCGATGCAAACTTGACAGGTGGCTTTGCACCACTTTGCACCCCCACCTCCGAGACCAGGCCTCCCAGGCAGACAGGTTTAGGTTTGGATCGGAGAGCGATCAGGTAAGCGGGGTTGCTCTGACAATCAGTTCTTCTTCCTATGGTTGGGATGGAGCTAGTGCAGGCAGAGTTAGCTTGCCAGAAGCAGTCGGATCGTTTGCGGGAGAGAACGTAAAGGAGAGGCGTGACGTCAAGCAGGGGATTGTGGATAGCATGTCAAGCTCGGCATTTGGAATTTTCGGTGTGGGCAGAAACGGGGCAGCAGAGTGGCTACATGGTCGTGGGTGTCCCTCGCTGCCTGTGCCAAATCGAATCTTGCTGAGAAAAGCGATATGCCAATAGCACAGATTTTATCTGCCGTTGTGGGGAGCGATGTGACGGGGTGGTAAGTCACCTATGTTGATGGACCGTTCACGTGACGTACATGACAGGCATTGAGTCTAGCATTTGTCATTTGTCTCCAAACAGGCGCCCGTGGTTGTGGATCCTGACCATCCCTCGCTACACCATCGAGGACTTGGCAGACTAGTTGGCAACCACAAGCAGTCTGAAGATAGGCTGCCTTCCGTAACTGAGATTGTGCAGACGGCAGAGCTTTGTACTTGGGAGTGAGAGTGTGTGTGCATGTGTGTGCGCTCTTTGTGCTGTCGCAGGACCCCTTGTACACCTCAGTGACGCATGAGAACATGAACCGAATCTATGAGGAGCGTGGCTCGGACAGTCGCCGACTGACGAGGCGTGTGAGACTTGGACCACAGGAGGTGGGCTACGTCAAGCCGGCCAAGACCGAGGAGGAATGAATGCTCCGAAGTCCCACAGGCCAGGCATGGCTGCAAATCGGCATCCTCACTTCTGAGCGATGGTGCCCTGGTTGTAAGGCTCTGTGCTTCTGCTCTCTTAGTGCAGATATCGGAGAGTCAATGTCGAGTCAGAGCATGTTGGCGAGGCAGCCCGACATGATGCCTCGCTGCCATTCTGAGCTGCCCATGCAAAACGTCTTTCGAGATGAGGGTCGTAGTCTAGACTACTCACTCTAGGCATCCTTCTTCGTTCTTGAAACTACAGGCACCGCATTACGTAGTAATTCTAAGTCATGTTACCTGTGCCAGTGCCCTGGCCATCAACCAGATGTGTTGAGTGTGTCATTCACTGTCAGACAGATGCTACTGCTGTTCTGGTTTGGGCCTGGTCTTCCTGCAAGTCATCTGGCGCAGTTTTTGTCGTATGATTCCGCTTGCAAAAAAGCTGATTTTGCCCTTCGCTTAGCCATGTCCTTGCGAGATGAGAAGTCCCGAAGCAATTTTTTGCGCAGCTCGAGGCCCGGGAGCCTCGCGAGTCCCGCGAGCCCCGGCCGCCGGAGGAAGCTCCGGAGGCTCGAAGATCTCGAAATATCTCGAAGAAGGTCTCCGCTTTCAGTTCAACTGCCTTCACCTGGAGTGGCAGGCGCCTGCACCATCGCCGCCTGCAGAGAGGCTCCGGGGCCTTTCGAGACCGTGAGACCGGCTGAACCCCTTGTTTGTTGCTGCGCCGCCACGAGGGCAGAGAGGAAGCCCCGGCGGCCTCACAAGGAGGCCCGGCTTTGGAAAAGGGAAGGCGGCACCCGCTCTCTCCGACGCCGCCACGGTTTGTGCCGAGGTGTCGGAGGCGGAGGCCAGCCCGCCGCAGGCGCTGCTGCACTGCTGCCTTGCTCGGCCACGGCCACGGGGACAAAACTCAACTCATCTTCCAGGCGCCGCCCGCGACGCGGCCAACGAATGGCCGCAAAGCCCTGGCCCCAGTGCTTATATAGATTCCCTGACGAGCAACGGGCCCTGACACAGGTGGAGGCGCCCCATGTGGAGGAGGACCGCATTGAGGGGGAGGACGATTGTTATAGCCGGACCATGTCCGAGTCTGCAAGTGGGACTTTGTGTTTATCGGACAGCAGGCTGACAGTGCCATGAACTGAAGTAGTCGTAGTAGCTGTGATGGCTTTGAAGAGGTAGTATGGCAGAGCTGATTAAGCCACTTCTGACAGTTGGGTGGATCCCCACATCGAAGCTCTGTACTGGCGACAAGGAAATTGAGGTTCACGCTCCAGCTCCACCTGCGCCAAAGCCTGCGGAGGAAGCAATCGGCTGGTTTGGGTTTTGCAGCCGGTTCCTGGACTCTTGCACACTCTAAGTTGGTTAAAGCTCTGCAGCTTTTGTGAGACAAGGATTGCCTTTGCATGCTTCAACAGGTGTTTCGATTCTGTCAAGCTTGGCTCAAAAGGTTGCCAGGCCAAAGCCATGCAATAGGCACTGGCTGTGTGAAGGCGAGCTTTCACTCCTTCCTTCTTTGTTGAATCCGAATTCTCGAACCGATTCTCAAGACACTTCGAGTGGCACTAGTTGCATCGTATGTGAAGTGCTCTCGGTGCAGCCGCGTTGTCTCAGCCTGCTGCCATCAAGGATGTCGTTCCGTGAACTTCGGAACTTCTGCGAGATCATGAGATCATTGGGGTATCATCGGCTGGTTTCCATGGTAGCTTGGCAAGAAGGTCGTGTGACGGGCTGAATCGGTCTGAGATCTGAAATGCTTCCTGGTACCCTCGTGCCTCAGGATAACTTCCGTCACTCGGCGTCCACTTACAGTTTTAGCCGCATTCAGTTTAGTTGGTTTAGTGAATGTCAGTAGAGATCTGTTGTGGAAACTCCTCTGAGCCCCAGAAGCAACTCTGTTTAGCGTATTGATGTCTGTGAGCAGCCCACCAAGGAACTCCAAATTTCGAGCTTGTGGCCGACGTCTTGGACTGGCTTCTGCATCGATTCGAGCCTGGATGCGCTATACCGGACGACATCAGTGCTTCGGCTGGAAGACCGGAAAATTCCTGCACATGAGGAAGTCGGCCTTGATTGTGACGACTGAGGCACCGAAGCGGACAGAGTCCTGTTCATCAAGTCGGTGGTTGAGCATCTCGGTGTGTTTGGGCTTTCTCATCATTTCATCTCTTTGTATCTGCCAATCGATTGACGAGGAAGGTGGTGCTGAAGACCGGCCTCAAGCTCAACCCCAAAAAGCTGTACGGCGCCGATGGCTATGCCGTCAAGGACAAGTCGGGTCGTTCTCCCGGTCTCCAGACGATTTCTGCCTGGCAGGAGCTGCTCCGCCTGGCACAGGTGTTGTACGAGGTCGGATGGGAAGTCGAGTTGACATTTTCTGAGCGGTTCTAGCACCCAGCAATTGCTTTTTCGGATTCTCCTGTCTAGCTCCCGGACACGACACGTGGTATCGGTTTTGCGGATGATTGCCGATTCCGTCCGCCTTCGGGCAACTTGACTGGGTCTTCCCTGGGGTATTTGTACGTGGTCGCCAGGCGCAGAGATCTGTTTCGGAAGTGCCTGCAGAAGGTCGCGGCGAAGACTTCACCCTGAACTCGAAGTCGCCTGGTAAAAGGGGACCCCGAGCATGTGCTCCTAAGATGCTCATACATGTTTGTCTGGGACCTGGTCTGTCTGAGGTTAGCTGACCTGAAGAGCGACTCGCCCTTGAGCATGCCTACGCCGCCTGCACCTTTTGGCTGCGTTTTCGCTTTTGACCGTGGCTAAGGCACCCGCTCCCTGTGCTCGCAGATAGTGGAAAGTGGGGCGACTCTCTTTGAACTGCTGCAGAAGGACGACATGCTGGGCCCTGGGCGCCCTAGAAAGCTCTCACAGACTGGCCCGGCCATGTGTCAGGAGCAGGAGGTTCGACAAGACCGAGAAAAAGCTTTGCATTTCTTGGAAGGTATGTCCCGCAATCTAGGCATCTCGGCCTTGCCACGAGCATGCGCATTTGTCTGCCGACCCTGGCGTAAGCTCGCCTGAGGCAGCAACACTGAGAACGAGATGGTCGAGCGCGCAGCTCCCTGGTCGCAGTTAAGGCACACTCCTCGAGCTCGGGATGCTCCGCTCCCGCTCCTTCGCTGCTTCGAATCGCTCCGTTTGAGGTGTCTCAGCTTCTTGGTAGCCATGGACAGAACCTCGAGCAGCTGAAGCAGATGTCGGACGAGCTCCAGCGAGATGAGAAGAGCCGACATCCCAGTCGCCTTCACTTCGCATAGGCGTCGCATAGGCCTGGCATTTCCAGGTTTGGAGCAGAAAATCAAAAAGAAAAAGCAGGACGGGGAGTTATGAGGGTTAGGAGGCGCTGTGAGATGCATTCTGTGTCGTCACGAAGGAGTTGGAGCGCTGCCGAAAACGGCTAGGCTCCCTGGCTTCGGTACGGCCCGCCTTTATGGACGAGCCAGGTGGCCGCAAGCAGAAGCGAGAAGCAGAGGACGTAAACATCACGAAAAGTTTTGAGCGGGTGCTGAATGCAAGTGCGGTGTAGACCAGGTACGAGACGCTGGAACAAGAACTCGAGAGATACTACGAACAGTGCCCCGGCACAACTGGACACGCCTGCACTTGCAGACCTTGGCTGCGGGTTGGATCTAATCGGCTTCATAGTATGCCTGTGCGGGGAAGGTATGTCGGTCGCTTTCGAAATCTCGACTATTTGGAGCATGCTGCTTGGATTGACGTTGTCTGAGCCGAAGAGGTGCACCGACTCTGTAGCTTCGCACATGGCAGGAAATCGATATGCTGAACAAGGAGGCATGGACAGCTGTAGCCAGAAGACTCTGGAAACATTTCTGGCGTGATGCCTTTCAGCTCTCACCTGTCTGTTTGGCAGATGCCTTTCATGCAGCGGATAGTCAGGAACAGGAGCGAATGGAAGAGAACGACCGCGCACTGAAGCGTGTCTTGGCAGACTTCTTGGGAGCTCGCTTTCGGTTCTCGTCCAGCCTTGACGTGCCGTGAGGTATGCAGAAGCGCCTTCGCGATGAGGAGTGGAGATTGCTCCGTGGAGAGGAGGACATGTGAAGACGGATTTCAATCTAGGTGGCCAGGTTCTGCAGCTTTCAGCCGGAGTGTGTTGCGTCCTCGAGAGCTGATGCTTGCCCGCTGCGTGAGGGGAGGGCAGGGCCCAAGCTGCTTGGTTTTCGTTGGCCGAGGGCAGTCTTCAAAGTGTCCCTAACGGTTTCTGGTTTAGGGTTTAGGCGGTGCAACATGGTGCAGGACGACAAGGGGAAAGCACGAAAGCCGAAGAAGATCCACGGCCAAAAGAGGCGTGGTACCTCGGCACTGGGCACTGGTCGAATGATTGCAGCTTCAATAAAGGTGGATGCCTCCATCAGCAGTGGATGCTGTGGACGGCTCCATGGAAGCTGGGGATGACGAGGCCCTGTGGACGAAGAAACCCGTGACAACAGGGTGCTCTGGGCCCTGCATCTCGTCCAGGAGTCATCTGAAGGCTCCAACAGCGACAGTGACCCGCCAATAAGTGTGGGTGGTGGCTCAGCTGAACTCTGCAGGGCCGTTTCGATGCACGTCTGTCCTTGAAGTGCAAAGGTTCGGAGGACTCCGGCGGATTGGGCCCAGGGCCGCGTGGTGGTGTCCTCGGACCTGAGCGCGAACGCTCCCTGGCACAAGACTGGGGCGGATTCTGGAGCTGCTCGTAGCATCTCGTAGCTCGTTTCCATGGTCTGTGTGTCAAGGCATGCACGGTCTGAAGATTCGGAATCGCCGCTATTGCACACTCAATCTTCCATGGGGCCACGCAAGTGCAGCCTTTATCACTCCGACAGCCTTCATCTAGCTCAAGGGCCCTGTAAGCCCACAATCCGCGGAGATCACACATGATCACAGCTTCACGCTATGACTGGCCGAACATGCTTGTGGGTGATCTAAAAGGCTTTCTGAAACACCTATACAACCTTCTTCTCACCACAAGTTCGGTTAGGAATTAACTTGGAGCTTATCTTTGATAAGCTTCTGCAAAAACAGCTGTCCATGCATCGTCCGCCCACTCATCTGGCAAATCAGCAAAATGCACACCAGATGCGGCCTCTTGACGTTCCTTCTCTCGCCTCAAACGCTGTTGCTTTCTCGCTGAAACAAACTCTTCATCGAACCTAATGATCCATGACTTTCGTTCGTGATACAATGCCATGACCCTGAAAGCTTCCACTGACACCTTCGTGAGAGCATCACTGAGATTCAAATCACCAGGGACCCATGTGATAAAACAGTTGGATCCATCGCGTATTCCATACTTCACTGAGAGCAGGTCCACGGCCGTTTTGGCGTTCTCGGTTGCCATCCCTAGCGATTCGTTGGTAGCTAACAAGTCATAACAACCCCGAGAGTCTGTAACCAAAAGGGATGTGAATAGAGATGTCAAGTCATCAGCTTGTCCATGTTTAAGCTTGTGGCCATAAAGGAGTGCCCAGAATAATCTACATCTCCAACCCTTGTCTTCCGCTTCACAAAGAGCTTGACCCTCGCTTGAATTCGTCCCGATAGCTGGTCGACGGAGTTTCCAGCTTCGCCAGTCTGCAATGCTGACTGGTGCTTCCACGCCTTTCAAGATATCTGGTGTAGACAAACCTGTCACATAACCACCTGTGCTATTTTGACCAGGTCTGTTCTTGTGCCCCGCATCACCCCAATGAATGAAGACAACATCGCGGTAAGACATAGCGGGTACATTATCTCGAAAATTGTGAAATACTAGGTCTTCCTTTGATCTTTTGCGGAGCTCCCTAATGATCGCATTGGCCTCTCTCAGACTGGAAAGATGTCTGTCCTTAAGGGCCGAAGATGCCATACCGATGCGAGCGTTGTACTGCGGAGCGCTCTGAATTGCTCTCCACTGTGCTTTCATAATGAGTGCCCGGCATTGGGATAACTCGGCATCCGTCATGATGTCCGAATCCGACCTTGACTTATCTCCAGAGATCTCTACAGGACGAAGAGAATTGCAGAAGTCCTCCTGGGACACATGAATCGTGTAGTTGGCGAGCTGTCTGATGCGGCAACCACTGTAGATGAAGTCCGATTTTTGCCAAGGGCTCCAACGATACATATTTTTGATTTGGTCGCGATACTTCCTCCAACATGCGCTCTGGGAATCACCACCGATCAAGAAGTCGTCTACTTGACTACCTATCCTGCCACAGATGTTGCCATGAATGTCAGGGAAAAGCCACACACACCGATCCAATGCATGACTGATTGCACCCATACGCTTCAGCTTGAGGTCTGCATCACACCAAAATATGCGTGGAGCATTAGTTAAACCATATACCGCTCCCATAATCCGAAAGAGTCTAGCTTGCGGAACTCCCAAGGCTGCTGCCATCTCCGGAACTGCACGAGTCCATAATCGTCTGCCCTCCTCCTGGTTGTCAGCCTGCAAGAAGGCAGACTTTGCGTCAGCACTCTCCAGATCATGACGGTCAAAAGCAATCGACTGAAGGAGAAGATTTCTGCCGGTTCGGGATATCGTTGGAGATGCGGTAACGAGTAGCGGCTTGCCGGTCCGCGCATCCCTCTTCACCAAGTCGGGATGCTTGAAACCTATAAGGACCACTCGCGCCTTTGCCTTCTTGGAGCCATCCCGAGTAGTCGTAGTCCTCTCACCTGGCTTCGGGGGTTCAGGAGGGATAACCGGCTTCCAAGTCAGCACCCACCGCATAGGGATGTGTCTATCCAGGTTCTGGTAGGCCTCGCGCGTTTCGTCCTTGTTTAGCACCGCCCGCAGAGCCTGGGAAGATGCCACTTCTGAAAGTTCTCGGGCTTTTGCTTCATCCATGAGAAGTCTTTCATCTTCTCGAAGATGTCTGTAAGTGACCTCTGCCCCTTTGCTCTCCAAAACATGTTTAGTGTACATCAAAGGATTTTGGACCATGCTATCCTCGTTCTCCACATTGAACTCAACAAGGAAACACTTGTTTGCATCAAAGTCCCACTCACTGATTTTACTCAACAGGTGGATCTCCTCAGCTTTCTCTCCCTCGATTCTTGCTCTCAGTTTGTCGGTCTCCTTGTCATACGCGATGCGAGCTTCCAATTGGGCGATCTTCCCAGACAGGAGTACAAGCATTTGTTGTCTATCGTTCTGATGGCTCTCACTTTCTATGGGGACGTAATCATCCATGGCATCCAACTGATAGTGCTCAACCGCTTTTTGAGGTGCAGGTGGAAGTGAAAGAACAGGTGGAAGACCATCTCTTCGCCTTGCCTCATTCGCTGAAACCAAAGATGCCCACGTTTGCCTGAGTTGGTCTACTGATTTTGGTCTCTCTCTACTCCTGGATCTCTCTCGGTCTCGAAACTCAGGTTGATCTGGATTCACATTCTCTGCCGCCACGTTCACAAAGGTTTTTAGACGTTGCAACAGCTCACTCTTGGGGGTAGTAAGCACAGTGCCACCTTTGATCAGCTCCATGGTGATTTCTTGTGTCGTTGCTGGCCTGAGCTGCTCTGGAGCGCATCTATACAACGTTGTGCCACAGAGGACCCAAATGACACCTTCTCGTCTGTCCTCTAAGACCGCAGGCTCGATGAGAACAATCCTGCCGGGTCCGAGGAAACGAGGCTCAGGGTTGTAATTGGCATCCCTTTTTCTGGCCTTCACTGTCATGTTGCGCCATATGCATACGAAGTCTCCCAACCTGTAGTCGATCAAAGGCTTCGGGGATGAATTAATCAAACGAGTGTAGGATTCTCTGGCTCGTTCTTCTCGGTTGATTGTATCAGCCCGATCACGTGCTCGAATCATCTCTGCAAAAACCTGAGGCCCAAGCTGCTTTTCTTGGTTCGCAAGAAGTGGATCGTTGAATCGTTCCTGCATTTGAGGATCATATCCATATGCCCACTGAACTGGAGAAAACCCTGCAACCCGATCATTGTGATTCTGTGCACAAGTCGCCAACGCTGCAAGGCCCCCCGGACTCAAATCTGGTAGCTCATTGCGCAAACGCTTCATGGTCCGTTTAGCCACTTGCACCATGGCCTCCGTTCGTCCATGCATCCAGTGAGCTTCCCCTGGCACAACTGTTTGACCCACTCCAGCATGCTCGAGAAAACTTGGGAAATCGCCGAATCTCAACGATGACTGGGAATCTACAACAACCCACTCAGGACGAGGACGATGCATCAACCATCCTGAACAGAATGCCTCCACGAGCCGATGTCCAGGATCCGTGCCGGTCTCCGAGAAAGGCCCAGACCATAGATGCACGATGGAGATGAACCGCATGGAGAGACATGTCATTAGCAGAAAACGACTCTTGACTTTCTGCGCCGGAAGTGGTAATTCAAACACGTCAATGCCAACAAACTGCCACGGGAAAGGTTGCGTACCTAAAGATCTGTGTAAAGCTTGCTGACCTCCACGCTCGGTATCCACGCATGCTTGACATACCAACCTCTCCGCCTCTGAGACTAGCCAACTAGGCAGTTTACGATCTCTGCACATACGGGCTAAAGCCTTGTTGGTGGGATGTCCTGCTGCCTTGTGTAATCTGTGAAGTAGTGCAATGCCACGTTGACGCTGTTCTGCTGGTACTCCCGGCTCAAAAAGCTGTGGTTCGGTATCGATAACAGGAGACGGCTGCGTCGAAGAAGATGCCGCCATCTCATCATCTGCAGGTTCAGGGGACGCCCTTTTGCCAAGAACGCCTGTGTCAAGCACAGGAAACATGCCTTGGAGCTCATCTTTCAGCAGATGCAGATCTTGAAGAATCGGTTTGTTTTGAGACTTACATAAGGAGCCTTTCCAGGTCTGCACAATTCTCTTGGCCATTTTAGTCGGATAGAACGCTGACTGCGCCACCTGCCACGAGCCTGCCCCGCCTAACGGCATGTGTTCATGAGTTCCATCGCAGCGTACATGTACATGAACAGCAAAATGCTTGTCGGACGTCAGGATCTTCCACGGCTTCTTTATGTACTTGAGACCATCCGGGGCCATCAAGCCAACCATGCACGCATCAATCACCGTCTCATGCAACTCCCTACCGTGAGTGTCCCACAACCATTTGCGGAATTCTTGGAACTCCTTGAGGTCCCAGCCTTCTTTTGCGCCCAAAGGCCACTCGAAATAAACATCAGTCCGGAAAGGATCTACATCGAAGGCTGCCTTCCAAATAGCAATGAGAGTTCTCAACTGTCGTCGGGATCGATACCTAGATTTCCGAAGGCGCTCGACCTGTTCAGGAGTTCGGACATTGTGATGTGACATTCCTGTCCAAGGAGTACACCTAGGGGAACACCAAATCTTGGAAGGCCTCTCACTCGGCAGAAGATCAATCAAACGCTGTGCACATGTCGGATCATCTAGGTCAAAACCTGTATGATACGAGAACCTGGTAGCTGAGTACCCGCATCGCTCCATCTCGGCTGTGAGAGTGCTCTTAGGGCCACAACATATCTCCCATAACTTCATGGGGCAATGATTCTGGACGGCCGCGAAACACGACTCGGGATCATCAAACCTCTCCACAGCCTGTACGATTTGTTGGATCAGCGGCTCACTCACTCCTTCTTGCTCGCCGTCGCCTTCTTCGGAGCTGGGTTCTCCACATGGCCATTCGGAATCAACTCTTGATCCTCGGATTCGCTCGAAATCTTCGCTACATCCGGTGATTTGGTCTTGCTTGGAGTCTGACTGGACTGCGATAGTCCCGCCTTCTTTCGGGTCGCACCTTTTACCACCGCCTCCTGTTCCAGGATCTTGATCTTGGCCCTGACCACCTTGGCATCGATGTCCTCCGGCAGGAATCCATTCGCACGCAGGTCCTCGAGGGCCCGAGTAACATGAGCTGGAAGTTCTGATCGGCGGCTGTTCGCAGGAGCGTTGATATTTGGAATGTACTCCAAGCGCACTCCGCAGCGGGGGCAATCCTTGTAGCGCGCATAGCGATTCTGGCCCACCGCCCCCGGGAGATGCTGACCGTAACATGGCCATTGAGTCGTTTGAGTTCTGGGATCGCTGATCTCCATGCCCATCTGGCGTGCCGTATCTGGCACGAACGAGCTCTTTGCCTTGGCCTTTGCCCGCGCCCCGCGTGGGGCTGCATTGGTGTATCCCGATTCCTTCAGCGTCTCCTGCACGGCTTGTTTGATCAACTCCTTGAGGTCGTCCTTGTCCGTCGGGGCTGATGCCATGCTGGATCTGAGACGAGGATGGAAGAAAATTGAAGCCGCTCGCACACTGACCTGATGAGCCTGGAGCGGTCAAGAAGGACATCTGTTGCGAATTCACTCCCAAATGCTCCTGTAGGGAAAACGGCTTGCCATCCTGCTGACGGCCAGCACTGGACACATCTAACGGGAACATCTGGAAAGTCTCAACAGGCAGGGCTTCTCGCCCACGTGTTGCACACCTATCACCTTGTGAATCGCTCAACGAAGATTGTGCGCAGTGGTAACATGAATTCTGACACGAATTGAGCTCAACATAACCCATGTGGTTCATGCCGGACTGGTGGTGTGGATCCGTCCTCTGCGCTGATACTGCCGCTAACACCTCCGCCAGATCCATGAGGACTTGTCTCTTGGCATTCACACGTAGCTTCAAAGGGCACTGCAAAACAATCGCATGACCTGTCACGACATTGAGTATCACCCCCATCTGAATCATTTCTCTCATCCCTACCAATACAGGGACTCCTGGTGACGGTAGTGAATAAATCTGCAAGCGGAAATGACGATTTGGAAGTGTGATTACCGCCTTGTACTGTGCCTGCCCCCACTGCCCTGAGCCGAACCGGAAATGCGGACGGTCCTCGCGCACAACAGTCACTTGAAGATCTGGGCGAGCCCTGGCAAGATTTGCCAGGAGGGAACTCACGGCTTCCTCGCCGCCTGCTGATACGGTTGCCCCGGTGTCCATGACTGCCTCGGTAGGGTTCACTTCTGGCGGAGTGGAGGATGCATGTAGGCACTCAACTTCGGGAGCAAAAGGATCTCTCTCGAACTGGTTGTCGGGGAACACATCCATCGTCATGATCTGTGGGAAGTTGTCCTGGGAGTAGTACGTGTAGTATGATCCCTTCGGTTTTGCCTTTGATCCTTTACCGAAGCCCTTCTTTCCGAAAGACGTGTAGCCCTTGGAGTAGCCACCTTTGCCTTTCTGCACGAAAAGGTTGGCAGAGGGTGACGATGACGAGGAGGCCTTGCCCTTACCTTTGTCCATCCATGTACTCGTCGATCGAGTCGGCCCAGGGATAGGCGATCTCGTGGTAGTCCAGCCGCGATCCTTCTTCGCTGCTGCCACCGCCTTCCTGGCCTGCTCTAAATTTCTTTGGGCCTCAGCCATCATCGTCTGATGATCTTGCTCTTCTTCTCGCAACTTCTGGATCATTTGATAAGCCTCCTCTACCGCCTGGAGCTTCGATGGGTCATTCTCTTCATGATCCTCGACGATCTCCTCACTGGCCCAATATGTATCACAGGATCCGCCCTCCGGTTGATCCCATGCGCCTTCTTCCTGACCCATCCAGTATGCCGACTGGTCATAAGGATCCCAAGACTCAGGCCAATCATCCCAGGCATCCACGTCCTCGTACTCCGAGCCCTCGGCGATCGCTGCCATGACGGAGTACTTGCCCTTGCCGTATCCGCCCTTCCGGGAAAATTCACTACGGCCTCGGTCATCATGAAATGCCAAAAGAGCCTGTCGCACATGATCATAACCCAGCTTGTTCTGAGCCGAAGCCTTCACAAGCGTCTTCTCGGTGTCACTCTCCGCCGCCATCTCCAAAACCATCCAACCCCGGATCACGTCTAGCGCCGCTAGGGGCACCAATCCTTTATCCATCAGCCGCTGGATGAGGTCAATGGGCTTTGCATGCGCGGCGGCGGTATTCCCTCTGATAGCCGAAGTCCTGGAGGACGCATCTTCACGAAGTTCCTCGTCTTCCTCTGGATCCACGGGTGCACCGGCTGCTGAAGCTGGAGGTGTGACCGTCCTGCCACTCTCCACCGAGCTTCCTTCTCTGGGCCCCACATACACCGACGTTTCTGGCGAGATACCGCAGAATTCCTTGAGCTCCTGCATGGTCACGTCATACTTTTCGAAGTCTAAGGCCTTCTCGCGCAAAAGGCGCTGAAGAGACCTCCACATCTCGTCGTACAGCGTTTCCTCGCGCACCAGGAACTGCGGGATTGTTTCACCGTTCTTCCGGATCAACTTTCTGTAATATGCATACAGCTTCGATCCTGCATCCGGAATCGGTTGCTTGTTCATGGGGGAAGATTCCAGAAAAGAGATCAGCTTGGAAATGGCACTCTCATTCGTAAACTCCGAGGGGTCTAGGCGATACATCAACGAGCGAAGAGCAGGGTAGTCTGACTCTAGCAGTTTCCGCACAAGTCGGGCCGCCGCATACGACCGCTCTGATGTCTTCGTGCCTGCTAGGTACCATTTCACCTCCTGAGTGAAGTGAAAGAAAGTCTCTGGCTTCCCATCCCAAGACGGGATCCGGTAGGCACCACCTTTGTCTTCTCCTTTGCCCAGCATGATGTCCCACGAAGGCCCTGTCGAACAAGGCTCCGCGGCACCAATGTGTCAAGGCATGCACGGTCTGAAGATTCGGAATCGCCGCTATTGCACACTCAATCTTCCATGGGGCCACGCAAGTGCAGCCTTTATCACTCCGACAGCCTTCATCTAGCTCAAGGGCCCTGTAAGCCCACAATCCGCGGAGATCACACATGATCACAGCTTCACGCTATGACTGGCCGAACATGCTTGTGGGTGATCTAAAAGGCTTTCTGAAACAGTCTGCACACAGGTGCTGTATCGCCTCCTGACGGCTCTGTGCTCATCGGCGGTGGCAACAGCGTGCCAGCGAAGCTGCAAAAAGACTTGCTGTTAACCTTTATGAATCAAGGTATGTCAGAACTCGTCATGATGCAAGGATTCTAGACATGGAAGCAATGAATTGTTAGTTCTGGGAGCAATGCCGGCTAATTGAAGCAGATAGGAATGAGCAAGTCTCATCGTGCTTCGAGGTCCGATGATGACATACTGAATGAGTCTGATGAGGAGGAGCTGTCAGATGAGGCTGCTCGACGAAGGGCTCGAACCAGGCATCAACTTTTATGACTTCCGTGATCCAAGGACATAGGAGGATCTGGACGGCATCCTCAGCCAGGAAGTGATTTTGACTTCTGAATGCTGCGTGGACATATGTGCAGATGTGCAGTAGCAGCTCAAGCATTTCCTTTCTGGTTTGACCTCTGCAGATCCGCAGAGGTTTCGAGCACGCCGTCTCTTCTGTAGAGACCCCTTTGTAGCGTTTCACCCAGGCCATTCAATTCTGCAGCTCTCCTCCGGTAGCAAGTTACTGCTTTACGGCAGGTCTCCGTCTCCGTCTAAAGTCAGCCTTGTTTTCTGTGTGGCATCAGGGAGGTTTGCCTGCATTGGTTGAGCCGAAGGCCATCGAATATTTGCAAGCACCAGGAGCTATGTAGTCAGTTTGCTCCGGGCTGCGTGGCCATCCTGGGCCATGTACGTCCAATGCATGTCTTACATTCATCGTGCCGCGGAATAATCCCGTTCTGAGTGCAGTCTTGGGGAGTTCCGGTGGTGATGGAATGTTCAGTCCTAGCTGCTGGGCACTTCCAGGAAGAGGTGGACGATGATATTGAGTACGACGAAGATTTCGAGGAAGCGGATGACGAGGACGGAGTTCGCTGAAATTCACCTGAAACTTTGACATCGTGCCCTCTCCCAGGAGGAGTATGTACCCCAGATTAAATCCTCGTCGCCGTCTCCCCCGAGCCAATCGCCGGATGGGTGGCTTGGAGAATGCAGAGACTTTGCTGTTTGAGAAGTGAAGTGAACGGTGTTTTTGTTCCAAGGACACCCAACAAGGCGCTGCAGCAACTCGCCTTCCAAACCCAGTCTTCCGGTGATGCTTTGTCAGGTGACTTTCCGGCCGATGTCATCGCAGTCTCTTCGTGCACCGACGCCTCCGCTTGGGAAGGTGCTCTGTGCAGTATCTGCACCTTTCTTTCCGGCGAATGGTTGAACCCCCTTGGCTGGCAGGAGTCACCAGTCTCTGCATCAGCCATCAAGAAGGTGGCGTCCATCTCACGGGCAGATCCACGTACGAGGTAGAGCAGCATGCCTCAGGCGACACAGAGCGAAAATGAGAGGATGGCGAGGACTGACAGTTCTCTCCTCTTCGCTGTGTGGGATAGCATTGGTGGCCATTCCTCTTGAGGAAGTCCCCGATGCCGACTTCCCCGGACATGGGCAGGACAGGGCGATATGGCGACAGGGCGACAGGTGTTGCGCTGCGCAGACTCCAGGAAGCGGGGAGGGGGACTCATGGCCGAGTACGAGTCGACCATGCCCAAGTTCAACCTGGCTGGCAGCCGGGGCACCCGGCTCTCCCGAGCAGCGGTCAGTGGAAGTCTGAAGCTTCAAAGTCTCAAGCCTCCGCCTGCTTGGAAGCCTGGACGCCTCTCGGTTTCCATGAGCCCAGGCGCGTCACCTGCGCAGCGCGCGGCACTTGCAAGGCGTGGAAGCTTCGATCAGTTGGAGTCGAAGCAGAGGGCAGAGGGATCAGAGGGTCACCTCCAGGCTTCGTGACCTTCGAGACTTGCAAATTCCGAGCAAGCGTGAGCCCCAGCACAGCGGCGCGAGCTGGGCTTAGTGCAGCATAGCTCGTCAATGGCGTCAATGTAAGGGCTTTAGGAGGAACCCTTAAGAGGGACTCTTGTAGGTTATTGGGGTTAATATGGAGACTATCTGGCTATATAAGGGGTATATAAGGACTATACAATGGTTATTTAAGGTAATGGGATTAAGGGTCACTATTAGGGGTCCCTCCTAAAGTCCTTAGAGTCAACCA